TATTGCCAACGGTCAGAAGATAAAGTTCAGGAGTCAGACTCTCACCAACAAGAATACGCACCGTCTTCCCCAGGATCTCACAAGCTTTGACAAGGCCGGTACCATCACGCAGGCTATCTTGACTGATCCCAACACTATCCTCCGCAACGCCAACATCGGAAAGAACATCATTGAAAACACGACCTTTGAGGTATCCTCAGAGGCTCAGAACCCCAACCTTGGTGGCGGAACCAGCAACATTGGTTTCCTCATCGGTGCTGACGCTGGTGTCACCTCTGCTTCAGTCGCAGCCCGAAGTGGCAACGCGAATGCAGTCAGAGTCATGGCCCAGTACTGGCTCTCCAGAGTTCGAACCCAGATCAACCTTCCTGTTTGCAAGGGCGCAGACAAGAAGACTGTTTCTCCTGCCTCTCACGGTCCACATGATGCCGTCCCCAGGTTCCTAGTCGACATTGACGTTCCTGCTGCCAAGACAGTCAACATTGAGTACATCCAGATTCAGTACTCCCAGAATGTTATCCTTGACTTCAATGGTCTTTCATGGCCTCACGTGACAGTTGGAACTCTAGCGCCAACTATTCGTCACAAGCTATCTCAAGTTCTTGTTTCTCACTAGATAGTGATATGTCCCATATAGCTGGGACTATCTATGGAGGATGTGTGGCTTTGCTGTGGGCGCCCAGCGGCTTTTTGGCCCGATATCGCAGGTTTAAACTTGATTTCCAATTTAACATGTTATTTCTTGACAAGTTATCCTCTTCTTAGCCCGATAGCATGAGTAATTTCACAAATTTACACTTCTTCAACAGGTGACGAAAGTAGGCCGTTTTCACAGTTGTCCAATATTGAGTGACAAATGCATCACTGAGAATACGATATGTCATCCCATTTCATATCTTTTGACCTATCCGTTCAAATTTGCATGCGCCAAATTGAGGCCAGACACATCCACGCCTTAGGCTCAAGCAAGAGGGGCAAACGTCTTGCCCAGGCGCCACCGAAGGTATCCACGACTGAGAATTCCAAGCCCAAGTCACATTCCCATCAGTGATCGTCATTCACAATTGCCGTTAGTGTCGTTGATGGTTTATTATGGCTTGTTCCACCCCCGCCTTTTCCATTTCTCCCGTTGCTCCAACACGGGCCGGCCGTCACATTCCTAACGCCGTACGAGACTTCAGCTAAAGAAAGCAGTCAGTCTTTACCTCTATGGGATAAACTGCATCGAAATGCGGAGATGTGGCTTGGGACTTAGGTTTCGTTAACACTGGATTTTCCGACCGCTCAAAAGTTATTGGAGGGCCATGCATTCGTGGTCGCCTTATGCAGATGTCAGCGTTGTAGTATTGCTTTCCTGCATCAAGCTGAACACGGCACAGCGTGTGATGGTTGCGCTCCGTATGTGAATCTGTGTCACTGAAATCTCCCATTCGTAGACATCATTGCGTGGACAGCTGAAAACCCAGGAATAGAGGCGGATGATGTATTCAGATAGAAATGAGGTTGTCATGCCCTCTTCAAGGCCATGCTTTATATTTCGCGTCCCTTGGCACTTGATTGTTCTCTTTCAGTTTGTCAGTACAAATTTCCTCGGAAGATACCCAAAACTCTTATCTTATAGCCTCAATCAGCATCATGCCTATCCTTAATCTCAAGTCAGACTTATCCATTCGAAACCAATGGGCTCGTCAGCACATCAAGAGAGCCATTAGACAGGATTGGAACGCCCTTCTTGATCACAGTGATGATTCCTCCGAGTTAGGTCCCCTTCCCCATATATCCCCCAAGAAGCCTGAGCTCCCTCTTGCTCCTCCCCCTCAGTTATCCGCTCCTCATGATCATAAGGCCGAAAAGCCTCGGGTCATCAAGATCGGTGTGATCGGTGCTGGAGCAGCGGGCTTGTTCACGGGTCTAGTCTTGGACTATCTCAATAGCGAGCTGAAGCAGGGCTCTATCCCTCTCTCTTTTGAGTATGACATTCACGAGGCCGCTGGGCCAGATCGAGTTGGAGGTCGCCTGTTTACTTATAATTTTGGTGGTCAACGCGAGACTCATGACTACTATGATGTTGGCGCGATGCGATTCCCCGACAACCCGGTCATGAAGCGGTAAGTCAGTTCCTTCTGGTGCGTGTCACTTGATAGCTTATACTTCATAGCACATTCGAGCTCTTTGGCAGGCTTGGCATGGAAAAGACGGACCTGAGGACGAACCCCAACGCCCCGGATGGCTCTCTCATTCCATACTACATGTCACCTAACGAACCCAACACTAACCCCTGGTGCTACAATGACATCAACGTTTGGGGTGCTTCTTATCAGAATGTTCAGGCATCCGCCGGCAATGTTGACCCGTTTCAACTTAATACTGATGGAAGTATCGACCGTAAGTAAGTTACCTCAGAAATGATATTTATTATTTTTCCGAATCAATTCTAAACATTTCTCAGGCTTCTCGAGGTTGGACCAGATGAGGTTGTAAAGGCCAACATTGAGCCACTTCGTCAAGCATTGAAAGAAGATGCCGAGAAGACTCCTCCTGGTGAAAAAGGCTGGAAGATGTTGATGGAATATGATACATACAGTACCCGACAGTTCTTGGGCACGTAAGTACTCTCCAATACCCCTTCCTTCCCTCAAAAACTGATTCATCCAGTGCGAACCCGAATGTGAAACTCCCCAAGGATATCCCTCCACCTCCGTATAACTATGAGACCATCGAGTGGCTCGAGACCTTTAACGGGTGAGTTGCCACGACTACGACACATATTTGATACTGACAGCTTCCAGAGGAACGGACTGGTATGACCAAGCTCACAGTGAGACTGTCCTTGAGTCCTTGGACTTTGAGTTTAGCCCTGAAACCAAGTGGTTCTGCGTGCTCGGTGGCGCCCAACAGCTCGCCAAGAAGATGGAGGACAACATTGTCAGCAAACCCAGTTATAACAACCCAGTCGCTGCTATCCGCGCTTTGGGTAAGATGGACGTGAGGCTCGATATCGAGTCTGGTAAAAGATTTGAGGAACGCTCTTACAACGCTGTCGTGGCCACTACTACCCTCGGATGTCTTGGCCGCATGGACACTCGTCAAGCTGGCCTGAGATATCCTGTCAAGCAAGCCATTCGCTCTTTAGGCTACGGTCAGTCCTGCAAAGTGGCTATCAAGTTTGACCATGCATGGTGGATCCACGATCTCAAGGACTTCAACATTCGCGAGGCAGGTCTAGGCCACTCCGACCTCGCCCTGCGAACTTGTGTCTATCCTTCTTACAACATCTATGACGCCAAGACCAAAACAGCTGTTCTTCTGTGTTCTTACACTTGGCAGCAGGACTCTGATCGTCTTGGATGTCTCATGTCGACAAACAAGGACCACAAGCAGAAGGTCACTGATGAGCAAGCTCTCAAAGAGCTTCTACTCCGAGATCTGGCTATCTTGCATAGAAACCCTGAGATGGGTGAAGATGAGCTATACAAGCTCATCAGTAAGAGCTATGTCGATCATCATGCCTACAGCTGGACTGAGGATCCCAACACCGCTGGAGCTTTTGCGTTCTTCAGACCCCAGCAGTTCAGCTCCATGTGGAACAGAGTGATCCAGCCATCGGGTGATGTCATCATTGCCGGTGAAGCCTCAAGCCCCCACCATGCTTGGGTCGTTGGTGCCCTTGAGAGTGTCGTCCATGGACTTCACTCCTGGATGGGTACCAATATCACTCTGGTTCCCGAGCTGAAGCATGCCAGAGATATCTTGGAGAAGGATCAACCTGGAAACCCCTTCGTCGGTCTCCCTCCCTATATGGATGTTAACATCTCGAACTGGCACGCTGTTCTGGGTGTCGTCAACCGAGACAAGCATCTAGAGCAGATAGGAGGCTCTGACAACAGCAAACTGCTGTCTACTCTGCTTTCGCATTTCGATGTCGAGGCTTTGAAGAAGGACATCGCTGCTTGATATATAGCTCGAACTGGCTCTTGGTTGTTCTCTTTTGGGGGGCTTATAAGTGTATTCAGATTGAGTCATGAAATCAGTATGATGGTTCTACCATCCGTTCTTTAGCTTTCTACATCATTTTCATGATGTCCACTCTCTTGATATATTGTTGTCGTCTACGATGAGCAGCAGCTTCCATTTCATTGCACCTTTCTCAAGCCCGCTCAGTAAACTTGGCTGATGCTATGATACACCATGACCGACTGACCTCACTTTTCGATTGTTCGCGAAAATGTGAACAGACCTTTCCTCGTTCCCGAGACCGCCGCGGACATAGTGATCACACCTCATGTACTTGGATATGTGATGGACCCCTCACGCTAATGAGCCGCGAAATATGTCGGGTCAGCATTACCGCCGTGCGTCGATCATGCCCAGTAAAAAGGATGAGCTCTCGTGAACAAACTGGCGGATCGTAGATTCTTCAACGCCGACGCGATGGATACATTTTTATCGCGAACACATTCTTGTCAGGTATTCTCGGTCGCGTTCAAACGCACCGTCAATAAACCCGTTCCCTCGACCGCAAAGTGGATACTCAAAATATCGACCACGCGATGCAGGCCCATATCGACAGCTGCAGGCAAGGTCATCGACCTCCTTGACAGTAGGCATCTCGGCTATCATGAGTTTGGTGATCCCACAGGAACTCCAGTACTTTACATCCATGGAACACCAGATTCTGGGATTACGCTCTCTGGGTTCGAAGATCGTCTCGCGAAACGGCTGGGCGTCCGCTGGATTGCCCCAGATCGACCGGTATTGGGAATTCCACATTCTATCCGCACCGTAGAGTCTTGGACTATCCGGCCGATCTGAGAGCTTTGATTCAGCATCTTGGGCTTCCCAAATATCGCATCATCGGAACGAGTGGAGGTACTGGGTATACTCTTGCATGCGCACAAGCATTGCCTCGAGAAGAGCTTCTGGCGGTTGGCATATGCGCTGGTGTCGGTCCTCGGGAAGCTGGTCAGGCTGGCCAAAGCTAACTCGTTCAGAAACTCATCATGGTTTGGAAAGACCAAAACAAAGAGTTCGTAAAGTACATGGAGGGTATCTTTCTCGCTGCGGCACAGGACCCCGACCCGACCAAAATGGAAGCAGTCTGGAGTGAACAAATCAAGGGTTTCAAAACAGAAGATCGAGAAATGCTAGAGAACCCAAGCGCATTTCAGTCCGCTATCAGGGTTTTCAGACAAGTCTATGCCCAAGGAGGGGCAGGTCATGGCCTCGAGATGAAGCTCAACACTGAACCTTGGGGTTTCAACCTGGGGGACATCAAGTACGAGGGTATCAGACTCTAGTATGGGTCTGCAGACGAGAATACTTCACCAGAAATGGGACGATATATGGCAGAGAGGCTACCAAAGGCGGTTTATAAGGAGTATCCGGGGGAGACGCACTACAGTATCTGGAGGGAAGACCTGCTGACAGAATTTCTCAAAGACCTAATACATTGAAAGACAGAATGCACTCTTAATGGGCTTTCCGGTAGCGATGTGTTATAGCAATCGTAGGTCTTTGGTGGATGCAAGTTTCAACGGAAATGAATTGGGATAAAGAAGGCGTCGGTTTGTTATGCAAATAAATACCTTCACGGCCCAAACATCGCTGTGGCCCGTGCACTCATCTCCATGGAGGCGCTAAGATAGAGTGCGATAGGATAAGATATGATAAGATAAGGACAGAAAATGACGCACTTTGATATCGCAGTCCACTACCCTAGAGATGACTCTCTGGCCCAACATTCGCAAACAGAAACCGTTAGGAGATATATTTAAAAGGTGTCTAATGATGAAAACATTCTGGCTATTATTTATATCGCTATTCACTTATCTCAAGCATTGTCAGCTGGGGCGATGATCAACTTGATGTAAATTACCTAAGTTTGGCGAGTTTTGCTCATCATTCTTGTTCCTCATTTTGATGTCAAGCAACTGAGCGGACTAAAAATAGCTCAACCCATCAACGCGTTAGAGACGCGACGCGAGCGCGATAAGAGATGGCTTACGTGTCATTATTGCACTCACTAACTCCTCCCCGCATTGTTATCGCAATACTCCTAAACCGACGTCTTGCACTGTGCCGTGGGCAAGCCAACATCAACAATGCACAGGACTTCAAAGATGGCGACTTCACCTCGCGTGTCGTATTGCCTTTCATGTCGTTTGACTAGAGGCAGAAGCAAGCAAGCAAGCGCACACAGAGCTTGATCTCAGCATAAGATTGCATTGCTCCTGGAGTGAAGCGTCAGACTTGTGCAGAGCTTGTGCAGCGGCCGGTCACATCGCATTAGCATGCATAATTCTGACAGAATTGTGCAATCTTCACAAACCGACGCAGTGCACAGTCTGTCATCCAATAAGAGCCACGCCCGGTTAGCTCAATCGGTAGAGCGTGAGACTCTTACGAGTACGCGATCTCAAGGTTGCGGGTTCGACCCCCGCATCGGGCTGTTCCTATATATATTCGATTGCGAGCGTTTGCGAGGCTTTCTTTTTTGCTAATCTCCTATCCTAAAGTGTTTTGCTTATGCTTGTATGATTTGGTGGAAACGCATACTTGTTGTCTTTTTGCGTTGTTGTCGTCTTGTCCTTTTCTTGAAAGGACCTGCCTTGCTGTTTGCCCACTTGACCCAGATACAACACTGCGCTTCGTTGGTTTTTGCATTTACAACCAGAAAGCTACCTGTGTTTGCCGTGCTGTTAGAGAGGTTGGTCACTAAGACAAGCCTAATAAATGAAGACAAATAAGAGAACATCACGACATATCAGCTTGTGCGTAAAGTGGCGTTCGTTCTGAACATTGTGATGACTATATAATGTCCAGAAGAGAACTTCTTCTAATTTTAAAACTTATTCCTTCTTCATCAAGCGCATCATAACTTCATCATAATGGCGACTCTCAATACTCTCAAGAAAGCCCTTAAAAAAGTTGGCGATGAAGCGCCTCGTAAACCATTGAACGACAAAGAGTATGACGATTCGCTTAGCCTTTTTGCCGAGGCCTCTGAACAGCACATGTACCAGAAGAATTTCGTAATCCCTCAACTGTCTGAACTGATAACCTCCCTCTCAACACGAGATGAGATCTCAGTCTTGGAGATTGGCCCAGGCCCGGAAAGTGTTCTAGGGCAGCTGCCGGCCACTCTGAGGAAGAGGATCACGAAATACGTCGCACTAGAGCCCTCTTTTCAATACGCTCAAAGTCTCCGAAGATGGGTATCGCCTACAGAGAACGAGAGACCGTTTGCCTCTTCGAAAGAGACCCTCGTTCGCCCAGCTTCCTTCATAAGAGAGAGCTGCCCCGGCGAGAAGTTCGACATCATTCTCTTCTGCCACGGCTTATATGGACTGAAGCATAAGGAAGAGATCATCAAACACACTATCGAGATGCTACCAGAAGACCCGCATGACGGTATGGTCATTATATTTCATCGTGCTGGCTCTCACATTGTCGGCAACCTGGTCAGTCACCGTTCGCTGTCCGTCCCCGATCGCACTGTAGCTATCAAGGACGATAATGAAGCCATCGACACTTTCACTAGCTTCATTGCCGGATACCGTTTGACGACCGGAGTATTATATGAGATCCGTCAGGCTCAGTGGCGGACGATCTGCCGCCAACTGGCGCGCCGTGACGACGATCGCCCAGGTCATCTTATATTCAACTCACCTGAAATCATGATTGCAATGACCCGACATGCCAAAAACCTACCGGATTTGGCTGCTCTTGTGCCACTGGCACACAGGCCTTACGAAGTCAAGAATCGACAGGCGCTACGCAACAGGCCTGCTGCTATCGTCAGACCATTGGACATCAGCCAGGTTCAATGGTGTGTTCAATGGGCACTGGCCAACAAAACTAGTTTGGCGATCCTGGGCGGTGGTCACAGTGATCACTGCCTTTGGCCTAATGTTGTCTCCGTTGATATGAGTGCCTTCGACAAAGTCCATATCGTCAATCCACCCCAAGATGTAGACACGGAATGTTGGGTTGTCGCCGAGGCTGGATGCAGGACGGAGGATATAATCCGCGAGACCATGCCTGTAGGCGTGACAGTCCCTTTGGGCTCCCGACCGGATGTTGGGGCTGGGCTTTGGCTCCAAGGCGGTATTGGACATTTGGCCAGGCACTGTGGCCTCACTTGCGACGCTATCGTCGGTGCTGTAATGGTTGATGTGATCAGCGGTCAACTCCTCTGCGTCGGTTACGTTCCTGAACAACATCGACCACCGAATGCCGTTCGCCACGAACGTGATGAGGATTTATTATGGGCCTTGAAGGGAGCCGGAACGAACTTCGGTATTATCATCAGCGTTACTTTCAAATCTTACACAGCCCAAATGTTCTCAGTATGTAATTATGGCTATCCGAACGGCTATAATGCTGAAGAGGCACTGACGAATTTGAGTCGCGATGTATCCAGCTGGTATCCTTACGACATTTCCTCAGACTACTACCTGTACTGCGAAGGTGGGAACATCTGCTGTGGAATGACCACTTTCTTATGTTCCTTGGAGGGTACCCCAAAAGGCACCTCCACGGGACCGCCCCCGAAGACGGTTGATGCTATTGAGCTCTTCGACAAGGAGGTGTACGTATCCAAGATGCATAAAGGACACGGGGGTGGCAAAACATCTGCCTTCAAACGATGCGTATTTCTGAAGGATATAGCCAACCCAGGTACCATGAAGGTCTTGATATCTGCCACGAGAGATGCTCCTACACCCTACTGTTATTTAAATCTTGTGCATGGTGGTAAAGCTGTGAGACATGTTGCGTCCGAGGATTCTGCTTTCGGCTGTAGAGACTGGGACTTTGCTTGTATTGTACTGGTGTTTGGCCTAGAGAATACGACGGAAAGCCCATTACTAACGCTGTTATCCGCTGGGTCTACCGGGTTGTGAACGAGCTCCTGCCAATGAGCAAAGGGGTGTACGGTGCAGATCTTGGACCTTATCCTCGAGATAGTATCTTGGCCACTAAAGCTTTTGGTCCCAATCGCCGATGGCTGGTAAAGCTCAAGAAAGCATTGGACCCCAAAAGAATTCTAGCGCACACATGCCCTCTGACACTGAGCGGTCTGCCACAGAAGCTCGTCATTCTTGTCACCGGCGAGCACGGTGCTGGGAAGGACTACTGTGCTGATATCTGGTCTGCCGTCTTCAAAGCACACGGATTCAGTAGTCGGGTAGTCAGCATCAGCGAGGTGACCAAGAGGAAATACGCAGCAGCAACAGGCTCTGATCCCGAGCGTCTTATCAATGATCGACACTACAAAGAACAACACCGGAAGTCTCTCCATGACTTCTTCAAGAAGAAACTGAAGGCAGATCCTTCTGCGGGAGATAACCATTTTCTTGACGTGCTGGAAAAAGATGACTCGGATGTGTTGTTCATCACTGGTATGACAGAGATGGCTCCTGGTGCAACGTTATCACACCTTGTTCATGATGCCAGACTGATCGACGTCCGGGTCCAAGCGAGTGAGGATACGCGGAACTTGCGAAGATGGGGAGATGGAAACAAGTTCAAGACAACATACTGCGAAGAGTACATGGGTAGAGACGGAATATACTCGCCAAACTTCACCTTTGACAACGAAGCGAATGGAGATGAACCTGTCATGTTATTTGCCAACCAACGTCTTGTCCCCTTCATGAGCAAAGAGCTTCAGGACTTGGCTGGCATGGTGCCATCAGTACCCGACTTTCCACGAAAGGATATCGACTTTCGCTACGTCCTGAATATCGCCCAACAGAAGGGAGGACTTGAGCTGTGCACTTCGCTCCTGAAGCACCATTTCTCAGGTGACTGGCAAAAGGTGGATGCTATAGTCACTAGCGAAGCCAGTGGGATTGTATTTGCTTCGCCTCTGGCAATAAAACTAGGAGTTCCTCATGTTCTCATCGCAAAAAGCAATAAATTCCCCCCACCTACGGTCTCTGTTCAGAGACGTTCGTCGCACATATCATCTCACGTACCCAGCACCACCGATAACGGTAGATTTGAGATGGATGCCAGTAAACTCTGCAAAGGCAACAAAGTGGTTGTACTTGACGATGTTCTCGCAACTGGAGAAACGCTCGTGGCGGTGCTCGAGTTGCTGGTCAAGGTTGGCCTACGGCCAGAGGATATTAGTGTCATGGTTGTGGCGGAGTTTCCCTTTCATCGTGGACGACAGAGGTTATGGGCGAGTGCGTTTGGCAGAGTGGCTGTTCAAAGCCTCTTGGTGTTTGAGGGGCAGTAGTGTGAAAGCATGAGTTGTGTTGCTTTGTAAGCTTAGCTAGGTGACGCAGCCGAAGTCATGATGTTTACAGTGTTCTGTGGACTGGTGGGTATTTTGGCACAGTATTGAAGCATCATTCTTTAGTCTCAGACATGGAGTGAAGGGAAGGCTCTTGTTTCTAGCTTCTAGCCTCCATTGCTTCAGACAGTTATCATTTTCTCTTGAAACTGCAGTATATTTAAAGACTATAATGCACTACCCAAACTATGCGCAGACCCAAACTTAAATTCTATCAAAAACAATGTAAGATATGCTTATGGACTAACCGAAAAACCTGCTGTATTGAGTTTGTTGGTCCAGATAATGCTTTCAATTAGTGTTCCTGAGTTCAAATTGGGATAGTCCATAACCACAGTTCCGACCATGGCTGGGACACCTGGCCCGCCCTGAGACTTGATATAGTTCTCCAGTGCCTCATTTAGCGGTGTATCACCCCCAAGTGCTTTGGTAGCGTAGTTGAAGTTTGAGTCTGCAACCTTGACAACATTGGGAAATGAGGAGAAGTCAGGCCCAGCAGTACTAGTGACATAGCTGGTGTAGCCAATGAACCATGTCGGATTTATCGGAGCATTTGGCTCTGTTGAAGCGTCCCATGATGATACGGCCCGGGAAATGAAATCAATGACCATTTCCTTTTTCTTCTTTAGGGCAATGTCTCCGTCATTGTCGTAGCAGTAATGGTCCTCTATCGCAAGAGATACGGGTGGGCTATTCGGGTTGATGAGTGGATTGTTGATATCTCCTTGATCGTTATTTGGCCAGTTCGTGGCGTTGATTCCAAAAGTTGTTGAGGTGCCGTTATAGGCGTCTGGTCGAGGGAAACGACGTATCAGCTGGATCTTGCCTTTGATTTGGTCCAGTGTGGGAATCGTCTCGCCAAGAGCCCAGTACTGCGGGTTCGCCATCACTAAATCGTTCACGCTGTCTGATACCAGCTGTGGGTTAGCAAGTGTTTGATCTGCCTTCATCTGAGCGACGATTGCTTCAGTTGGATGAGCGTCGAGCCACTCGTAAAGCATGGTAAAGATCATCTGAACCGTCAAGTCGATAGTAAAATCTCCGTGAACAGCCACGAAAGTATCTATTTCTGCGCCGCTGGTGTCTTGTCTATGTCCATAGCCTACTCGTAGATCAAGATATCGGATACCTGCATTCAGCTGCTGGGTGATAGACATATCCTGGGTTCGCAAAAGGCCAAGGTCAGGGTTATACCAGGCGCTAGTAGCAGAATCATGTGTTCCTGGGATCGATAACGCCGCGATGCTGATGCTTTGATCATCAAGACTACCCATCCAATTTTCAGGGCTGATTTGTTTCATCGGCCGACGAGACCAGTAGATGGAGCCGCCCTGTAAAGGGGAGTTCCACACTGCGTAAACCCAGGAGTCGGAGTATAACAATGCTGCCTCGTTCTCACACCAGAGAATCATGCCATCACCCATAGGCTGGTTTGAAGTCCAAGAATTCGACTTCCTTTCCCAGCGGCACATAAGATTGTTATAGCCACCATGAGTTTTGAAACAGATCCATGCTTCTGCACCAGTAGGAGTGGAAGTGGCACTGATGCCGCTGTCGCCAGACTCGCCGGGGACTGCCACATTACTAGACCATGAAGGAGGCTGAGTTTCCATATCCAGGGTGATCTCCAAAATTGAGCGATAGTCACTATGGGAAAGAAACATCAAGCGAACATGGCCATCTCGAAAAACCAGGGCCGGGTTACTAGAAGTTTGCTCGTTGATCTTTGAGTTCCCGTTGAAGCCCATGGTGGAACTTATCAAGTCAATGTCCGTTGTATCCGGGTCTGAATAAGTCCAAATGAAGTGATCGTCGTCGGATTGATTGTAGCCAACGACATGCAAGATATCATTGTAAACAATGGCCGACAGGGCGTTACACCATTGTGAGCCCCAGTCGCAAATGTACTCAAAGGTTGTCTCATTGTAGCTATAGATGGCGCATGCTGAGATGGAGCCCGTGATAGATGTATATGGCACGAATAGGTATAGAACGCCCTTGAACACGACCATAGTGGATGTATTGCACTGCTTCGCATTGCCGAGTAGAACAACGGTGAAGGGAGCCCAGCCATTGTCAGACGGCAGCCAGTGAGTAAAGCTGAACGATGGTGGGTTACCATCGGATGGCATTGTAGCCCAGGCAAGAAATATCTTGCCCTGGAACTCGCAAATTGCTGGCTTGAATTGTGTCCCAGCATTGTAGGGGCCAGGAACTAGTGGTTCGGCCTGACTCCACGGCACGGGCGGATCCTTACTAGGATTCAGAACATCAGAAAAAGAAACCATATCGGAAGCAGTGTCAAGAGGGAATAGTGCTGAAGACCAACAAAATATGAGACGGTGATTGCATGTGCATGTGTTCCGTAGGGATGAACTCTATATATGCACTCAATTCAATCCACAAACATCGATATTCCACCACATAGAATCTAGTGTGTCTTTCCTCGGAGCAGTGCGGCGTTCCTAAGCCTCAGTGGGCTTGGCATGTGGCTGGCTGGGGTTCTAATTCATGAAGTCTGACTTAGCTAAAGATGTTCATATTAAGCGAAGGGCTTTTGGTCGTGGCTAACTCTAGTCAATAAATGTGCATCCTACACTTTCACTAATCCTAGTTAAGCAAGCCACTACTTGGTTGTGGCGACGTGCCGCCTGCAGAAATAGATCTAGAACAACTAAACCTTGATTTATTGATTACAAGACACACAGCTGCAGTCATTCATGGCTCTCATGAGGTCGAGGCCCAGAGATGCAGGACAGAAAATGATACACTCCAACTGAGCAGCCGTAGCTTGGCCAATAGAAGTGAATGCTTGATCAGCGGTGAACAAAAGCAGCTTAAGATGGACCAATGGGTGTGAGCTAGACACTGGGCTGAGACATTCATGCCGCCATCTGCGGAAATCGGAGGGTGCCATTTATGTGTAAGTCTCTGAAAACCTGGTACAGTTGTATGAATATAGCCACAAAAACCAGCCTAACCAGCCCGTAAATGAGGTTAAAAAACTGTAGAGATGGACGAAGAAGTCACCGGGAAAGCGTTCACCTTGACGCGGTTCGAGAAACCTGAGCCCGGTGAAGAATCTCGGCTTCCAACGCATTCGGACGGCTTCCGTAGCTCAGTTGGTTAGAGCGTCGTACTAATACTTCATTCCGAGTATCCGGTAATGCGAAGGTCTCAGGTTCAAGCCCTGGCGGGAGCAATCCCATTGCCTTCCGAATGTTCTTTTTGACGTTTATGTTTCCATCGCGATATGCTTTTGTCGGCGGATGAGGTGTGGCGTTGGCGATGAGGCTTTGGCGGCTGTTTTGGCTCGTCCCTGCACTCCAGGCGCTGAGAAAACAAGTGTCAGTGATAAGATAAAAAATAGTGGGCCTTGATAGCTATGATTTGATTCGTCGGTCGCGTAGCAAGCCTCAGTGACGAAAGCCTCGAAGAATGGCTACAATTTAAACCAGTTTACGGAGTAGACGAGTTGAGACGAGTTTAGACCAGCTTAGACCAGCTTAGGCCAGCTTAGACCAGTTTAGACTATTTCCAATAACTTTAGGATGAGAGTTGATGACCGTATCATGGCAATCACCCTAGAAGAGTGTTTTCCATTGGGACATAATGATCAATTGCGTATATAGCTACAATGAGAATGTTAAACAACAGTCTATAGCTCAAACACCTCCTCCTGTACAAAGAAAAGTCCTTCTCTATCAGACACATCGCATGCAGCCGCTCTACCTTGCTCAATAAGTTGCCTTGGCCCGCATAAGTTCACAGCAGCATCCATGCCAAAATTGTTAGACTTGAGCTGCCTGAACCACAGCTTCAGATCTGGTCGTCCCAATTGGATAGTCCAAGGTTGCGGAGAGCTCATGACCTGCATTTCATGAGACGGGCCGCTCACGTGAACTTCGCGTTGCCTTCCACCAGTTACAAATATTGATATTTCCAGAGTTGTTGACGAATCCGGCTTTGCACATGCACTGACAAGTTCAGTCAGTTCATCTGCGAACCACTGGATGTGCTGAGCATCTCTGACGACCCAAAGAAGATGAATGTGAGACACGGAATGACCGCCTACATCGACGCCTATTTGTTTGATGATATGAGACGCAATGCTGATACCTGGCGTGATTCCAATGCCACCGGCGATGAGGACAGTCACTGGCAGTAAGCCCCAGGACACTGAGCCAACACCGTATGGGCCATCAAGACGCATCTTGAGCGGGTGAGCCATCATGCTGTTTGAGTCCAAGGAAGCGCATCCGTGTGGATTCTCATCCCCGTTACAGTCAGCATACTGTACACCCTTGGTGAAGCCCCCAAGACCTCGAACGGCGATCGTTGCAGTCATCTCAGGATCATTCGGTGCACTGGCGACAGTGAATGGATGCCAGTTCACAAACGACACCTTTGGGATTTGAAGCCAGACAACCTGTCCTGGAGTATGAGTCCTCAGACCTTTAACCTTGAACTTTGTAACGTTGCCTTCGAATGCCTCGACACTCAGCACTTGGATGGCGCGAAAGTTGTACGCAAATCGGATCGCTCGATCGATGCCCCAAAGCATAAGCCCTGGAAGCATGAATTCCGGCCCATGCGCGGCGTGGATCAAAGCCCCGATGACGAAAACGAAGAACAGGGCGTGTGTGTAGTAGAAGATCTCGAAGAAGCGGCGTCGTACAATCGGTAGGGCCGTGAGAAAGAGCAAGGCTAGCGCGATCCAGGCCATCAAGCCAACCTGGATTCGATGGTTTCTAAAGCTGGTGGTGACCTGTTTCGTCTCGATGTAATGCTGGATATTGAACGATACATGGGCTGTTGCGTGGGAAACTGTTGCAAGGCCGATCCAACGATGGTATTGAAGGAGGACTGGACTGGGAATACGCAGGAGGGTCGCGAATAGATTGTTTCGGGATGCCATCAGCAGTGCGAGACCAGCATTGGCAATTGCTAGCCAGCCGTACAGGGTATAATCCGCCGTGAACTCATTAGTTTGTACGCTGAAGATCAAGTTAAGGGCAAGAAAAGCCGTGAAACGCGCAGCATCGGCGATGTGCCAGTCGAAATACGGGAGAGGAAGCGGGAAGCTGTGTAGTTTGTGAAGCCAGACAGTGATACTCCAGTGCAAGACCTTTCGATCTTGTCGTCGATCTGGGTGAATTAGCGAAGCCCAAGCACGGAGAAACAGAGTTTTCACATTTGTTGTATCTTTGGAAGGCGTAGATACTGAAAGGAATGAGTGATTCCAAGAATATTAAGCCAACAACGCTGCTGAAGTAAACTCTGGCAGCAGTATAGCGATCGATGATCACGGGATCAGTCATTTTCGGATGGTGATAATGATCAAAAAGGATAAGTCAAAGTCGGTGACTGATGGATCAATACTGTACATGAACATGCAGAATACAGACACTAAATACTTGACAGAGAAGCTCATATTGTCAGAAGCATGGCAGTGCAAAAGAGCTATCGCAACTGATGATTGATCAAACTTACCATTCGAAACCCGTGGCTGAACTGGATTCCAAAGAATAAACGCTCGGCTTGGAGCTGAGAGATTATCATCTAAGCACGATAAATGAGTAACGTTCTTGATTGATCAAACGCTCTGATGCTATCCCTGCCGTGGCGTCGAGGCTATGCTTGGAGGTGCGGGCGCTGTCTGGGTTGACCACCATCGCTAATCAAAATTTCCCTTTTGGGCAATGCGGATGGAAACAAGCTTAATTTTACGGTAAAATTAGGCAAAGCCCTGCTGTGAAACATTTAGCCTCAAACGCCGAGGCGGATAATTGTTTCTGGGGTTCATTTGTTGTATCATCTGAATTACCTCTTGTAGAATTGAGGTGAAGCAGTACGGGCGGTATAAGAAGATTCAGAGAGTATGATGAAACCAGTCATCAGCAATCAAACTCAATTACAATCTACCTCCATCTACAGCAACCTTTCTGCAAACGCAACACTTACCTCAAACCTCAATTTTATACATCTCTTCTTTCCACAATGGCTTTCAAGCTCGCTGCTCTTCTCTTTGCCTCCGCTGCCATGGCCGCCAAGATGGGCGACTCTGGTGCGCTATCCTCACTGGACGCTGGCCTCGGCGGCACAGTTGAGGTCGTCAGCAACACTGAACTCAAGATCACCGACTACCAGCTCAAAGACGCATCTGCACCTGCTCTCTACTGGTGGGGATCCAAGACTGAAGATCTCTCATCCGGCTTCCGTATCAACAAAGAGCGCATTAGCGACACTTCCTCCAAGATGGACATCATGGTCAAGCTCGATGCTGGCTATACTGCGAAAGACTTCTCTTACGTTGGTCTCTGGTGCGAGAAGTTTGACGCCAACTTTGGCCAGGCGAAATTGACATCTGATGGCGACTCTATGAATTCGACCGACGAGATGGATAAGAAGGAAGATGGTATGAAGAAGGATGAAATGAACGGCGTGTCGGGTTGTCCTACTGGTCAACCTGCCATGGTTGTGGCTATCTTGAGCCTGCTTGCTTTCTCTGCATACTTTGCTTGATGACTTGTTGGAGGTTGTGATGGCCACGGGTACATAACAGATAGCATGTAATTATTTCCCTTCAGTATCAATTTATCAATTCTTATTGTCTTCAACCATACAATTGTCTCTCTCTTTGCTCAAGACTTACGCGAATACCATTTCTCGATTTTTAAATTGTGATGTTTGCGCTCGCCGGTAGAGGCGCTAGGGCCCTCCAGCCGCTTAGCGGGTCAAGGTGCTGCGGGCACCTAGTGCGCTGTAGACTATCGTCAACAGCGGGTAGCCTGCCGTTAGTCGCGACAGAAGCCCGAGGTGGGCTGCACGCTGCGGTGTTTGGAGTCAATTTCTGTTTCAACAGAAGGCAGCTAGCTTTTGGTTTCAGATTCGTCATGATCCCCTGGATATTTCTCAAATACGGATTTTCGCTCAGACCGTTTCGAGGTCCATAATCAGGATTGCCTAATTGAGTAAAGTGCTCGACGGTACAGGGGAGCTCCCGCGCCAAAGATTGGAAGCAATCAGAACAAAGCCACAATGTCAGCGCTAAGCTTTTCAGCCCTGCGGGAGCCGAGTCAACAGCTTTACTACATTCAGTAATTCTGATTATCTGGCGGACAAAGCTTCAATTAAACATTGGCGAAAATGGTTTCTTATTCGGTTTCACCCCAGGTTTTAATCAGCATTGGGCAACTTCGTTTTGTTTATCTCATAGAGCTGATTCAAATGGCGTCGCTCCGCCTCTCGACAGGGCTATGTAAGCTTTGATGCATTTCTTCGAGGA